CGTTTGCGGCACAGGTGCTTCAACCTTAAAGAAAATCGTTTTTTTTTTTGGGGGGGTGCTTGCTCAGTGACATTTTTTTTTCAGGATTATTGTGACAGTTGGTAAAAATGGCTAAGCAAAGTCTTTTTTTTTTTTTTTAATCTCACTTCCTTTTCTTGGCATCAGTCGATATGATCACGTTTTCATTCGTTTGAACGAAATCTGTGATTCTTTCATTCTTTCTCTTCCCATATCATGAGAATCACAGTTCAACCCAGAAAAAAAAAAGAAAAAAAAAACGCACGCCCACATCTGACCGATTCCCGTTTTCCCGCTCAGGATGAACAAGGCGGTGACGCGCGGCTTCGAAAAAGACGTGGGGAACCGCACGACGCATCACTTTGTGTACCCGGAGAGCGCGGTGGACGTGGGCCGCGGCGTCAGTCTCATCCTGCTGCCCTTCAAACTCCGAGACATGGAATGGCTGAGCAGCGCCCTCTCCACCGGCCACGTCAAAATGTAATCGCTTCCGCCAAATCCGCACGGCAAACCTGCCAGGTCGACGATCGTCACTGACGCGAGCGTTGCGGTTTTCAGAAACATCAAAGCCAATTTAGTCTGACGGAACCTCATGTCGGTGTTTTCGGAGCTACCAAAAAAGTCGACAAACTTTAAACGAACACAGCGGCAACACTTTGGGTCAGAAAAAAATAAGCCAGACATTTAGCACGCCGGTGTCAAACTCAAGGCCGGGGGGCCAGATCCCGGCCCGCCAGGCCATTTTATGTGGCCCGCAAAAGCAAATCACGTGTGTCAACTTGCTAAAATCTGTGCCAAAATGTGAACTTGTCGTGTGGAATGAATAACGTTGAGATTTCGCAATAATTTTTCTACCCAATTTACACTCACTTGAACCAAAACTGAACAAACTATTATAATTGACTCGACTGATTTCAAAACTAGCAATCTATTTCATTTGTCTACAAGTAATCATTTTGTGATTTCACTGTCATAACGGCACTTCGAGGGAAGACGTTAACTCCAAATTGGCCCGCGACTAAAATGAGTTTGACACCGCTGATTTACTACATTTGGCAAGTAACTTTTTTTGTTTTTTAAACCAACTGTATTTTTAAACACCAGACGTTAAGAATCTTGACCTCACCTTCTTCCGCACAAAAAAAAAAGTTTCCCACAAAATTCCAAAAGAATTTGTGAGCATCAAAGGTCAGTGTTGTCTTTCGTCCGCGTTTTTTTTTTTTTTTTTTTTTTTTTTGTCAACGTCAAAGACGATGTGATGTTGTTTGTGTGCTCAGGACGTACATGCGCGTGAGAGTGCGAGTGGAGGCGGATAAAGACAAGGTAAGCGTGACGAAGGGCCCGGTTGCCGTGCGCGCGACCTGCTGACGGCGTGTGCGCAGGTGCTGGTGGTGAGCCCGGCGTTCTTCAAGTACGTGCACGAGCGCTGGACGGAGCGTCACGGCCGCTACCCGTCCACCGGGATGCTCGCCATCGTCTTCGCGCTGCACATCTGCGACCAGGTCACCGTGGCAACCGCTCAACCACGCCACACTCGTCTTGCTCACAACTCATCCTTCTTTTTCCACCCGCCTTCCTTTACTCTTCCCTTCGTCCTTTTCCGTCCGCCTTCTTTCCTTTGTCCCTCCATTCTTGGTTCTTTGCTTTTTTTTTCTCCTTCCATTCCTCTTTTGATTCCTCCCCTTCCATTTTCTCGCACTTCCATCCTGCGTCCTTCTTCCTCCCCCACCTTTGTTGCTTTCTTTGTTTCTTCCTTTTCTCTCTGGTTTCATTTTCCTTCCTTTGCTTCCTGTCCGCAGGTGTCCGTGTTTGGTTACGGGGCCGACAAGCAGGGCAATTGGCACCACTACTGGGAGGAGAACCGCTACGCCGGCGCCTTCCGCAAGACGGGCGTGCACAGCGCCGACTTTGAGATGCAAGTCATACGGCAGCTGGCCGAGGAGGGTAGAGCGTCCTGCAACCACAGAAAAAAAACAAACAAACTTTTTTCTGAGATGGGGAACAACCACACACTTTTTGGGGGGGGATTTTGTATTATTTTGCAGAATGACTTTTTTTCCCCCTCCCACTCCTTCATCTGAGCACTTTGCCTTAAGGAAATGGCAGCCATCTTGTGGCTTCACTGATAACGTCTCCTTTCATTCAAGCTGAAGGGTCACCGTCCGGTCAGTATTTTGTCCCCATTTTTGTTGTGCTTCCGTCTTAAATTCCCAAATCATTTCAATTAATTTTCCTCTGAAGTTGTACAAACAATACCACGTGGTGACAAAGTCAGAAACACGTTAGCATTTCAAATTCTGTACATGTGACATGAGCGTGCCAAAACAGGTTGATCCAAATGCATCCATCCATATCCCAAAAAGCAAAACACAAATATTACATATATTTTCATATTTAGCAATAAAAATAAATCCTTTTTTTTTTTTTTTATGCGACCGGTTGCTAAAGAACTCCCTAAAATGACGTTTCATTTGGAATGTTAAAGCCCACAAATATCACAGCTTTATTGTATTAAGTACACAAAAATATCAGATGTGCAAATTCAGAACAATCATTCCCAGGAATTAAACACTTGATGTCCTTATGTAACATTTATATTTCTTGCACATTTATTTAAGAAACATGGATAAAATAAAACCATTTTGCCGCGTCTTATTAGTTTTGATTTCGCACGCCCTGACCAACGTTGTCCTAATGTGGCAAATTGTGAGGGGGGTCATTGAATAGATTTTTGGTGGCATCAAAACTGAATCATGTTTTGCTTGTTACTTGCAAATGTCGCAAAAAAACTTTGGCGCATTCCCCATTTTTTTTTTTTTTTTTTTGTCGTAGCTAAAGTCAGCACCACCTGCTGGTGTTGACTTGTACTGTGAATGGGAAAAGTCCTCCGATGGCCAGTCGCTTGTGCGCTCACTGCTTTTCGTTTGCAAACGACAATGAAGGAAAAAATGTAGACCACGCAGTATTTTTGTGTTTGTGTGTGTGTGGGGGTTAATGTCAAATTTTGTCCTTTTTTTTCCTATTTTTTTGGGGGCTCTATGGAAAGGAAATGCTTATTTATGAATCGGGTACATATACATGAACGTTATCAACCACTAATGCCTGAAGCCTTTGAATTCCTGTGAAACAATGTCTTCATAATATTACGAGTTTTCTGACAATGTTTTTCTTTTTTTGAGGTGGCCCTTATCTTTATTTGCTCAAGTTTACGTAGTTGTGTTGTGATTGTAGTTTTCCTGGTCACTATTATCAAAACGGATCCTTTCAAGGCATCAAAAGTCTAAATTCAGGTTTGTGCCATGATTTACCTCCTGCTTTTGTCCAAGTGCACCACCCCTTCACCCGCCTACCCCCCCCCTTTTTTTTTTTTTAATAATGCGCTTGCCATATGTGACCCGGTCTCCCCTCCCCACGTGGCCCGCTTTACATGTAAGATTTTGTTTTCTTAATGTGTGAAGATACTGCTGCCACTTGGGACTGAAAAATGAGAAAATAAAACAGTTAAAAAAAAGACAACTACCAAAAGTTTTTTTCTATCCCAAAAGAGGTAAAGTTTGTCATCTTTTTTTATTGTACTTTCACTGGCCCTTTTGGCAACATTTTCCTTGCTGTGTGTACTTTTTTTTATGTGGTGGTTCTGTTGATGTTTGTGTGGCTGAAGGCAGGAAGTGACATGCTACTTGGCTGCTGAGGCGTCTTTGAAGGCAGCTGGCAATGTTCATCCGGGTGTCGGAGCGCTTCTCCTGAGCCGGTCGTGGTGTACAATCATTGACTTCAGTTTGACATTGGCTGCACAAAGGAAGATGGAAATAACCCTCGCTGCTCTGGTTCCTCTTCAATGTAGCCGTGCTGCGGAATGCACACACGCACACATTCAGCATATAAAAGGATCCCAAAACCTAAATGCATATCTGAACATTTTCACTTCCTGTATGTGTCCAAATACTTTTGTCCAAACATTTCTATTCAGTTCCTGGAGAATGGTAGATACTTGTTTTCCCCCAGACTCTACATTTTATTTTTCACTTCCTGCACTTGTGTCCAAATTGACCACTTCCCCTCTCAAAATGTGTCCTGGTAGTTTTGTGTGAATGCCCCCATTTCCAATGTGTTTTTTTTTTTTTTGGTTTGTTTTTCACATTACATAAGTATTCCTGTCATTTTCCCAGTATTTCTGTCCAAACTCCAGGTTTTCACTTCCTGTAATTACCCCAGTGTTTTAAAAAGTTCATGTACACAGCCCCCCCACCCACACACACACACACACACACACACACACACTTGCGCGCACTTGCTGGAGGTGTCCCAATACTTGGTCTCAATTTTTGGGATTCAATACGTACCCACCAGTCGGTGTCGTCCTGGCCTAGGACCACAATGACTTGGCCCTCGCTGAAGCTCAGCTCGTCGTGATGGTCCGCCTCGCAGTCATAAAGGGCACGGACGCGACGGGCGGACCCCCGACAACCCCGAGGCTGGCCAAGACAAAAGTGACTGGCTGTTATGCAGCTGATACTAATTATAGCATGCTGATGTGACTGGTCATTTTAGAGCTAATGCTAGCACATTAACGTGACTGGTCACTAGCGAGTTAATGCTATTAAGGGAAAGTGACTGGTTTTACAGTTTAGCCTATCTGCAAAAATGGAGAAAAATAATAGTTGAGCGTGCATGCGAGCAGTCTGACATGATTGGTCATTACTAAAGTCACGCTAACAAGTGAAAGTGACAAACTAGTCTTTTATGAATAAATGCGAATATGACTGGTCATTTTAGGGTTAATGCTAACAAGGTCAAGGGATTGCTCATTACAATGGAATGTTAGCATGCTAACATGACTGACAATTGTAGAGGGAAGGCCGCATCCTAACTTCACTGCTATTTCAGAGTTAATGTTAACAGTGTAAACCGACTGGTCTTTACAGCAGTAGGGCTAACGTGACATAAGTTCATTAGTGTGCATGCTAGCAGGCTAACATGGGTGGATGTTATTGAAGTTTAACTTGTTAGCATCAGTGACTGATACTTTTTGAGGTAACGCGAACATGTCTGGTCATTTCAGAGCTAATGCTAATGAGTTGAAATGATTGATCATTACAACAGTAATGTTTGCATGACTGGCCATTTTATAGTGAATGCTTGCATCCTAATTTGATGACAGCAGTAGGCCTAGCATGTTGACACGACTGGTACTTTTAGAGGTCATGTGACGCAAACAAGTTCAAGTGACTGGTAATGAGAGAGGGAACTCTCACAACAGGACTGGTCACTACAGTTGCAATAACTCTCGCATGCTAACATGACTGATCGTGACAGAGCCGATGCTAACATTGAAGTAACTGCTTGTTGCCCAGTGCTTAGCATGCATGCTAGTACTGTATGGTATTCTAACATGACTGGTCGCTACAGAGCTAATGCTAAATATAAATAAATGCCACTCACCAATGACCTGCGAGGGAGCGGCTGGGGGGCGGGGCCTCGGCCGGTGCTCTCAAAGCTTTGCGAGCGCTGACTGGCTGACGAGCCATTGGGGGAGGGTCTTCTACTGTGATGTGATTGGGAGGTGCTTGTGTCACTGTCCGCCCTGCGATAGGCTGAGATGTAAATGTGTTAGGAAGTCGTTAAAATGACAAGTCCTTATTTGGGCGCGTGTGGACTGGAAGTACCTCTGTCTGGATGTTCGGTCAATGAGCTGAGAGCAGAACTGCATGCACAGGGACAAACAGATTGGTCGTTACAGAAGCAATTCTAGTACGGTGATGTAATTGGTCGCTTCAGAGATAATGCTAGCACCCGAATATACAAACACTATGAGGTTAAAGGGACTGGTCATTACCAAATCAGTAGCACCAACAAATAAAAGTGACTATGAGTTAAGGTTAGCATGCTAACATGAGTGACCATTTTAGGCGACTGCTGCCAGACTTGAGCATCATTTTTTGACCGCTTGCTCGAGAGCTAACATGATAATCCTAACATGATTGGTCATTTCAGAGCCAATGCTAACCTGACGGGTCATCACAAAATAATCGCAAACAATTTCAAGTTGTTTCAGAGCTATTTGCTAGCATGCTATGATGACCCGCCGATCCGGAGCGGAATTATGATTTCAACATGACCGCATGTTTGGGAGCTAACGCTAGCATGCTAACCACTAAGGTGAGCACAAATGAGATGCTGAGACGTGAAAAGTTGCTGCACGAATGCTATTGAAAAGGCGAACAGTCTTTCCAGCCAATCAGAGGCCTCTTTTCATACTCCCGCATACTTCTTCAAGGATGAGTCTGCACCGCTGTAGATCCTCGTGTGACTGGATGGCAATCCATAATCTGTACACACACACACACACACACACACACACGTGATGTTATCATCTTTCACGACCTCATTAATGACATCAGGTCTTACCGTGGTTACTGGACTCAGAGCAGCTCCTTTTGTGCCGGGCGGCGGCGACGGGGGTCCATTTCCTGTTTCCTGGCAGGGGGAAGAAGACTTCCTCTTCCTCTTCTTCTTTCTCTGCCTCCTCACCCGGGGGAGGAGGAGGAGGAGGAGGAACGTTGGGAGCTAATGGACCACAGGCAATACAGGTAAGTTTGTTTTCTCTCCTCGTGCATGGTGCGTATGACTCATCATTGTTGTTTTCGCCGCTCACAAAAAAGCGAGCGATGACACGAGTTACTCGTGTCAAATGACTCAATTACGTTTCACATCGACAGTCACCGATGACCTCCCTTTCGAATGGTGCACTGCGACTTTTGTCTTCTCTGCTCAGAACCACTGGTGAGCCATGTTGTTTTCCTCCTCTCTTAAAATAGCCGGCGATCACGCTTGTTTGTCATCTCCTCTCATGAAAAGCCAGTGGGGATAGATTTTTTTTTTCTTCTTCTTGTAAAAAGCAACGCTTCACACTCATTTGTTTTGTCTTGCCACTCAAACGAGTGGCGGTGCCCATGAAGAATGGCACACCTTGATGCAACATTTGTTTGAACATCGCCAGTGGTGGTGAAACTCCGTGAGTCTCCTCTCACAAATTAGCCATTCGCCATGACTCACCATTTGCGTCCTTTTGCAATAAACAAGCAGCAATGATGTGCGATGGTGCGGTGCCTCAGTATTTCTTTTTTCTTCTCACAAATACTCATTGCACACGGCGCGCCGTGACCCCTTTTGCTTTGTCATGAACGGCTGCTTGCTCATGACAACGAATGAATCACGACTCACCAATTTTTTTCTTCTCATCCCATAAGCAGAAACTTTTTTTTTTTTTTTCCTTTTCTCACAACGTACGCCGCGCCTCACCTTTGACCCTGGGGGGCAACGGTGGCGCAGGCGAGGAGGGGGGCGGCGGCGGCGGCGGACTCTGCCCCCGGGCGGGGGGCCGGCCGTGGTTCTCCATGGCCGTGGCCAGCCGTCGGCCCACGCTGAGCAGCCCCCCGCCGGGCCCCCCCGATGAGGCCGGCGGGCACGTGACGGAGGCGGAGGAGGCCAGGCCAAAGTTGAAAGGTCGCGAGGGGAAGGAAAAGGAAGAAGAGGAGCGCTCCTTCTTAACGGGACCGTTCTGAGAGGAAAATAAGCAGGAAAAAGAACATTTTGAAAAGAGAATTTAAATTGATCGATTTTTTTTTCTTTTTGGGTCAAACATTTAATTTTGTTGTTACCGCCTATGTGACTTATCATCGTAAAATCATTTGTACAGCTTTATACTGAAACCCAAATTATGCAAAACACAGAAATACATTTCATTCATGACAAATACAAACACAGATCAAACCCCACACGCAAAAAAAAACAAAAAAAAAAAAACTTCCCATTGCATCTCTGTGTTCGGTTGCCACGGTTACCTTGTCCTCCAACTCATCGTCGCTGTCGTAAACGTCGTCGTGGCGAAGTCGCCACTCGTACTCCACGTGAACGTGATGGTCCAAATGGTCCGACCGGGCCTGTTGCAGCTTCGCGCACGAGCACGCGCACGGTCGCGTCAGCGCGCAGTCGCGCAAAGAAGCCGAGGCGACAAACTCACCAGCGCCTCACAGTGGCCGTGCTTCAACCTGCGGCTCACGTCCAACGCCGTCTCGCCCAACTCGTTCTCTGGACCGCCGTGGGACACAAACGCGCTTATACACACACTGAGCCTTTTTTTACTGCGTGTGTGTGTGCGTGTGCGCGCGCGCCTCTCACTGATGTGCGTGTTGGCTCGGGCCTTCAGCAGAAGTTTGACGCAGTCACTCTTGTTGTGCAAGCAGCTGTAGTGTAACGGCGTGTTTCCGCACGCCGTTTGCACGTCCACGCTCGGCCTAAAAACAAACACGCACACGCACCCATGAACGCTTGTTATTTGGGTGCCGTTGTTGACGTGTTGTCGTCCGTGTGCTGTTTGTTGGTGGCGCGTTTGTGTCGTTTTTAGACGTTGTTCGTGTTGGCGTGTTGCGCGCATCCACTGACGAGTTCTGCGCCAGGAAGTGCAGGATGTGCAGACTGGTCCTGTCAGCCAACAAGACGGCCAGGTGGAGGGCCGTCTCCCCTTTCTCCTGTTGCCGTGGAAACAAACATCAGTCGCTTTCAAAATCAGTCACATTTCAAACCCAAAGTGCAAATTCTCCCCTTTCTTTTGAAACAAGAACCCTCGTTCGAGACCCAAATTTGAAAGCCTCCCGCTGGTTCGCAACCCGACCGCGCTAACCCGAAAGCCGAACGCGCGTCGTACCTGCACGTGCGTGTGCAGCGCGTGCGCGAGCGGCGCGCGTTGAGCGTGCAGCTGAATGAGGGCGAAGACGTCGCAGTTGCTGGTGGCCTCCTGCAGGAGGCGCACGGCCGTCGCCGAGCCGGGACCGCGCCGCGCAAACTGCGCCGCCTGATACTTGCCCTGGATGAACTCCTTTCGTTCCGCCCTGACGCACGCACACGCACACACACACACACCCAGCAAGACGTTTTGAGTTCATGCGCGTTCTGCACGAGGGCTTGGCCCAAAAAACGAGTGGGCGCGAGATGCTTCCTTTCTTCCATCCTTTTGCATTTCCTTTCCAACTGAAGCACCTTGACGTTGTTGTCCTTCCTCGCTCCCTTTCTCCCTACTTGGCCTCTGTCCTTCCCTCCCTCCATTCTTCCTTCCTTCTTGACTTCCATGCCCTCGTGCCTTCCTCCTTGCTTACTTCTAAACTCGCAACCTTTCTTTCTTCAAACCTTCCTTCCTGTTGACCTTTTTCCCTCCCTTTCATCTTCTGTCATTCCATCCATCCGGCCTCCTTCCTTTCATGCCGACATCCTTCTTGGCTTCCTTTTCTTCTCTTCTTCCATTTCTTTCTTTCTTTCACCTCGAATCCTGCCACCAATTTGTCGCAGTTCCTTCCTTTCCCTTTCCCCCCCCTCCCTTCCATCCTCCTTTCTTTCTTTACTCTCCTCCTCCTCCCTGCCTTCTCCTGACCTACCATCCATTTTTTTCTCCCATCCTTTGTCCTTCACTGCAGCCCTCCCTCTCTTCTTTGCGTCCTTCCAATCCGCCTTCCTTTTTTCCTGTTTTCTTTTCTTTCCTTCATTCTTTCCAGCGATCCTGGCTGCCTTCCCTCCACTCTTCCTTCCTTTCTGTCCTTCTCCCCCATTTCCTCCCTCCCCTCGTCCTTGCTCGTTCCGCCGTCCTTCCAAACCGGCCTCCCCTCCTCTCCTCTCCTCTCTTCCTTCCTTCCCTCCCTCCCTCCTCACACAGACGAAAGCAAAACGGGGCCTGGACTGCTCCAAAGACACCGCCCGGTCGACCGCAAGCGACGTCGTTTGTGCGTGCGTGCATACTGACATGTGGCTGTGTTGCGACGGCTTCATGGAGGGACTCGGCAGGTTTGCCTCCAGAATCTCGTTGAAGCCGCTGTTGCCGACGTTCCGGGCCAACTGACGAGAAGAAGAATTGGGAGCGACGTCACCGGGCGAAGGCTCGAAAAGGGTGAAGTTTAGTCTGCGTTCGGGTACCAGCAGGTCGGAAGTTCCGAGGCTGTCCAGGCTGAGCGAATGAATGCGCGAGACGTGGACGCCCATCTCCCGGTGCACGCCCGAGCACTCGATGCACGTCAGGATGCCCAGGTTGGTCGACACCCAGCCCGGCTCTGTGCGCGCACACGCGCACACACAATTGTTATTTTGTGTTCATCCACCAGAATATTGCTTGCAAGACTACAAGAGGCGGCGTTTTGCGCCCGCACCAACCGGGAGCGCCGCAGTCGCAGCAGCGGTGGTTTCCCGGCATGCGTCGGATGTCGTCCGTGATGGATCGCGTCAGCTCCTCCAGGCCGCTCTCGCCGCCTCCCTTGCGGACGCCGTCCAACGCCGCCGTCAGAGCTTCCTGCTTGCTGTTGCTCAGCACCGAGATCCAGCTGCGCGCATTCCACAGTCGGCACAAAAGCGGACGGCCGTGGTGAGCGAGTGCGCCGCCACCGTGCGACGTCACACATCGCGAATACGACGGTTAAATACTCCTGGAATAAATCATCTTGACCAAACTTTTTTTTTTTTTCTGTTGAGACGCTGATGCTTTTACTCAAGTCACGTTTTCAGCTACTGTATGCAAGACTGGACTCACGCAACACACTCGGCTTCATCCTCAGCCAGGAAGTGGTAAGTGCGATTATCTGCTGGCCATAAAAACAAAACAAAACAGAAAAACAAAAAAAAAACAATGATATTACAATACAATACGTTTGTGCGTGTGTGTGTGTGTGTGTCATACGAGAGATGAGGTCGAAGCACTTCCTGTCCTCCACGCTGGGTTTGACCTGGCAAGTGAGCAGGTTGAGCCTGGTGGGAGCTTTGTTGGGCTATACACACACACACACACACACACACACACACACACACACACACAAACACACACACACACACACACACGCACACACACACACACCACTATCCTTCAATCACAACTTGATTCCATCACGACAACCCAACGACAGCAGCCCCCTCACAAACGCTTGTGAGCTCACCGTCGCATGTGCGATGGTCAGGTAGCAGTTGTGAGCCCAACATTTCCTCTTCTGCCACATTTTCCTCAACCTGAAAATACAATACACACACACACACACACACACACACACACACACACACACACACACACACACACACACAGTCTTATGGGGTTATACATTGTCATGGGTTAGTCTTGTGGACACCAGTGTGTTGTATCCAATTTTGTGGTGTCGTCTCACAGCCACACGCACGTGCACACACTATTGTTGCAGAGTCGCGCATCCTCACACAGAGTTACGTCGTAGTGGATAGAATGTTGTTTTTGCACACCTTGATGTTGCCTATGTGTGTGTGTGTGTGTGTGTGTGTGTGTGTGTGTGTGTTACCCATCACTCTTCTTGTAGAGGAATCCCGTCCTCTCCGTTCCGTATTGTTTATCTCCCAGCAGCTGATGCATGCTGTACACAGGCTTTGGTAAACTATCCTGATGGAACACACACACACACACACACACACACACACACACACACACACACACACACACACACACACACACACACACACACACACATACACACACCAGTGATGCCGAGGGAACAGCTGTGAGCACGCATGCGCGTGTGTTTGTGCATCCCACCTGCTCAGTGTGCACGACAGGCCTGAGTTGATCTCTGAGTGACACAAGTTGACGTTTCTCCTCCTCCTGCCGCTGCTTCACCTGCACACATACGCGCACATAAACGGACGGGCGGACGCGCAATAGGCACGCCCGCGCATGTTTTTCAGAGACTCGCACCGACAGCGAAAAGTGAATTGAACTGCATTCATCCCAGCAGAATAAAATAAAATTCAAATAAAAGCGGAATTTTTATTGCAAATGACCAAAATAAAATCGAGTCGAAGAAATGAAATGAAATAAAAATTAAATAAAATGAATGCATTAAAAAAGATCAAATATGAGAAATAAAACAAAACAATAAAAATAATGAAAATCTAATTGAATACAACAATCAAATAAAAACAAAACAAAACATTATATACCTCAAATAAAATAAATACAATAAAATGAATAAGCGAAAATGAAAATGTAATAAAATAATATATTAAAGAAAATGAATAAAATAAAATAAATAATGAATGACAATGAAATAATAAAACTAGCCTCAAAAACCCCCAAACTGAAAAAAAAAAGCAAATAAGATCATGTCAAATAAAACCAAAATGACAAGAAACAAAAATCAAGAACACGGACGAGAAGGCAAGCGAGCGCAAGATGGCTTTGCTGCGTTACCGAGGTGAGGACGCCATTCAGCTCGTCCATGTATTGCTTCAGCCTGTGCGTGGTCGACACGCACTCCTGCAGGAAACTACACACACACACACACACACACACACACACACACACACACACACACACACATGCGGTGTGTCAATGCAAGGCCCGACTCCCTGCACGAGTGTGTGTTTTGTTTTCGTGTGCGTGTACTTGTTGTGGCTGTGAAAATGTTTGATGAGGTTCTGCAGCAGGTCCACTCCTCTCTTGGTTTTGATCTCGTTCACCTTGATCAGATACTGAAGCGCACGCACGTTGCCCACATGTGAGGAGGCGACGGCGGAGAAGGGGGAGGAAAAAAAAAGGCGCCCTCGTACCGACCTCGCACATGCTGAGTTGGAAGGTCCGCCTCTCCTTCTCCAGCTCCTCGGCGATCTCGCCGCCGCTCACCTCGCTCCTCACCATCCCGTACTGACGCGCCAACTCGCGCTTCTCCTTCTCCACCTGCTTGCTACACACACAAAAAAAAAAAAACCACAATATGCTGGGGAAGTGTCAAGCATGAGAGATCCGCTTCATTTTTACCTACGGTGTAAAAAATGATATAGAAAGTGTCAAACAAAACAACAAAAAAGGTGACATTGATATATATATGGCGACGATGTTAGTTTAGCAACAAAAAAGCAAGCAGCCAGTCAAGCTACGTGGCAAAGAAAGCGATCCAGAAAACAAGCTGTGCCATGGATTAAAGCCACGCCCCCTATCAAGTGGACAGAGTGAATTGATATTGTCTGAAAAGTAAGGCTAGGCTGTTGTTAGCTTAAAAAGCTAACCCCGTGATACTAACGTGAGGCCTAGTTAGCATCAAGGTTCAGCGAGGCTGCTGGTTGTGACACATTTTGTTCTGCTGCATGAATGCTAAGTTAGCATCTGAGCACTTTGATTTGCCATTTGAGAGTTTTTGAATTGCGATCACGCCTCACTTACAATCGGCTTTCGTAGTCTCTCCACGCTCTGTCGAAAGGCTTCTTCAGATCCTGCGCAAAAAAAAACCCCCACAGAAGAGTCCAAATTTTGTGCCGTAACACAGAATTAAAAACAAATAGGACAGCGCCTCCGATGGCCATGTGAGTAAATGATGAATAATAATTTCAATTTCTCACCCCCTTCACCTCCCGCAGGTCGCCTTTCACCAGGGAATCCAGGAAGAAGTTGACGTTGTGCAACATGCTCTTTAACTACACGCACACACACACACACACACACACACAACAGACTTTTGAATTGAAATGGCCAAACAACATATGGAGGTATTCTTCATCCTCAGCAAAGAATGACTTCTATTGCAACGACTCACTGACCAGCAGTACAATTGAAGAAGAAATCTATTCTTCTTTGTATGTGTCTGCGTGGCTGTATGAAACAACAGTGCCTCCTGTTGGTCAAGGCGGGCATAACACAAGGAGCGTCGCACTGAACTGACTTTGAATTGCAGCATTCAATCATGATGCAATCCATTCAGTGATGTCATCACTCTTTTGTCTCCATCAAATGCAATATTACGGACAGGAAGGTAGCACCGACTTACGCAAACTTACGCAAATGGTAAAACTGAATACAAACGAAGAATTCGACTTTGCTCAAATTAAAATGACATGCGGTATTCAGTTGTGGGTGAGAAAGCAAAGCGTGGAGAGCCTCTGGCGCGAGTGCAGTGAACGAACGGAAGTGACAAGCTTTTTGTTTTGCCGGTGGATTTGTGATGATGAAAAGAGGCTGAACGGCGGCGCCACCCACCAGGTTCTTCATAGGTGACACCAGCTCCTTGGAGAAGTCGGCCATGCGGCAGAAGGCGGAGCCCACCTCTGCCTCGCCGTTGGAGTGACAGTTGACGGACAGCTTCTCCATGGAAACGATGTACTGCTCCAGGTGGGACACGTGCTCTGCTTCACACACACCACCTGAGTCACATGAGTGCGTGCGTGTGTGTGTGTGTGTGTGTGTGTGTGTGTGTACCTTGTCCAGATGTGTATTTGGCTTTGGCTGCTTTTTTCATCTTCTGCAGCAACAAGCGGTCGCTGTCGAGAGCCTAAAAAAAATAAAATAAAAAAAACGTTTCATTTAGACGAGCATTCGAATGACTTCCCGTCCACCACCACCAGCAGCAGCCGTGCACCAATTGACAAACTGCTGACCGGGCGATCCGGCAGCTTTGTTGGAACAATACCGAGCTGCGTGGCCGCCATCGACGCTCACAGTCGCAACGTGTCGAGTCACGCGCGTTACAAATCAATAACGTTTAAGTGTCAGTGGATTCCGTCGCTTTTTGATGTGTTTGTTTTGTGATTGATGGTACTCAAATATCAATCAGTGATTGACTTTATTGGTCAGAACGTGACTTCCAGCTTCTTACTTATCTTCACAGTGCTGGTGTCGAGATGTTTTTTCAATAAAATGAGAGGTTCATCCGGTGATTGATGACCTCAAAACGCCATTCACAACAAATAAAAGCTTTCACGGCTTGGCCACATTGTGATTGACAGTTTTTGCTTTCCTAATGCCAGTTTTATGACATTTTTTTAATACATAAGGACACTTATCCTTTTTTATTTTATTCCCATTTTGTGAGCCCCGTATGTCAATCGCAGTAAGTGAGGATTTGGTTAAATTGTGATGGACACTGTCGCAACTTGAACACTTTTCCGCTGCTATAAGAGGTCAATCCTGTGATTGATGCCCCTAATTAAAGTGTCAATCACAATAAATGTTTGCTTTGAAGGTTGCTCAAATTGTCACGAAGAGTTTATTGGGTTATTAAGCTGCTTTCAAGACATTTTTTAAAAACATGGTGAGAAGTTCATTCTGTAAAATATGTTCCCCGGGTGTCAAATATGAAGGCGTGGCTACAATTAGATTGACAGCTTACCAGCATCCTAATGTTGATATCAAGATGTCAACTTGTCATTTATTTTTGTCATAATTTATTGCTTTGAATGAATAGAATTGAATTACCGTAACTGCTTTGAAGTGTTGGCCAGACTGTGCGTGACAGCCGACTCGAGTCCTAACGGTGGTCGAAAGACTTATAGAAATAATTTGTATAGTCCAATAATAAGAATAATATAAAAACCTGAAGAGCTAAATACATGAGAAGAAAGGCAAATCTTTTGTAAAAGCTCACATCTGCCGTTATTTTCAGTGGCTCCACTATTGCATGCCAAACAATGGCTCAATGGCCAATGACGTCAAGGTATTGCAACGATGTTGTCTCCTAGCAACGGGAGGATGCAACATTAATGATGGCACTGTACATGTAAACAGGGCGAGGTGGTGTGCGTGCGTGCGTGCGTGTCATCTCCGCCGGCGATGCTTCCCTGAGCGAGCGGCGTACTGACCTCCTCCAGCAGGTGCACGGTGCTCCGGCATTCGCTCATCTTGGACGAGAAGGACGACGTGGTGGGCGAGCTCCAGTCCTCCAGGACCTCCCCCACGAACTCGGACACGGAAACGCACGGCTCCGGCATGCTCGGCGGCGGAATCGAGCGACCAGACCCGGCAGCGGGGACGACGACGACGAGAGCGGTCGGCTGACAAAGAGCGAAGGAGCCCGAGCAGCCCGATCCGGCGAGCCGACGTCCGACACGCCTGAGGCGGCTTCGACGCAGGCCAACCGGCCGCTCGGTCCGACGGCGGCGGGAAGAAGGCAGAGACCCAAGCGGAAGCAGACGCCGTTTGGACTCCGGGGTCCCGTCACGTCATCGTGTTTCGTTTGTGTTCTTTGTCCTTTTTTTGGGGGGGGGGGGGTTGAGCTTTTCAACAAGGATGCTCCGTTCACGCTTTACGCGAGCCGCATGTTGACGCGCATGCGCACTGTGGGCCAGCGGCGACACAGCGACGCGCTTCCCGGTTGCGGTTGGAGGCGCACGCGGCCGCGCCACCTCCACCCAACAGAAATCGTTTGAAAGATCGATCGGATGGAGGGTTCGTTTCAGCATATATTCCAGCACAGTTACAAGTTACCTGTTAAAAATGTAGTTAGTAACGTTATACAAGTACAAAACTTTCAATTATTTATCAATACTCCTCATACCAAATACGCCAATGAAGACAAAATCAAAATTAATGTTGCTATCATAGAAATTTATAGACAGTGGACCCGCGCTCCATACATATATGTGAAAAAAAATAAGTTTCACCTGTTTAAAACGTTTTTAAAATTTTGAACATGATTTGACTTGCATCGATATGCTTAAAAAAAGTGATAAACTAAAATCTAAATCAAACGGTATAAAAGAAAAAGGTAAAAACAAAGTTCGGTTATTTTAGTCAGTCTTGTGGGAAAAAAAATGTCAATTACAATCAATTAGAAATAAATACATGACTCACTGAAATAATTACCCACTAGGGTATCTGGTGTCAATTCGACATCGACATGACATCGGAATTCCATCAAAATTGATTTCACGTGTCAAATGTTTGAGTCAATCTTGAATTTTCAAACATGGCCAAAATTCTCAAAATAGTGTGAACATTTTAAAAATGACTGAGATGAGTGCATAAAAATAACGTTACAAATGAAAAAGAATCCAAAAGAAAAAAGTCAATTGTGTCACTTTACACCAAAAAAAAGAAAGAAAAGAAAAAAAGGAAATTACAAGCCAAAATTTCAATTGCAGGCCAACGCAACAAATAGAGTATTCCGGCGAGTGACGCCGCCGTCAGCATAAGAGTGGAGTCAAACATGACTTTAGCGCTAACGTTGCCGCTGTTCACCCAGTGACGAGGAGCCGTGTGACTTGTTGCGGCAGCGAGTACACCAGCAGGCCCAAGAAGAGCGCCAACATGACGAGAACCACCAAAGTCACAATGAACTTCTTGAACTTCTTCCAGATGATGAAGATGAACGTCTTCAGGGGGTTGACGAACCACGTGAAGCTGGTGGTGGGACGACTGCAACGGCGACCGCGAGCGCCACGTCACACCAATGTTTCACTTCTTTTGACACTTGTGTGATGGTGAGAAATATTTTGTGTGTGTGTGTGTGTGTGTGTGTCTCACTTTGGTTTGTCCAGCGGTTCTGGCTCTTTGCGGCCTCGTCCGACTGGATTGGCCTCGGCTTGCTCCAACGTCACCAACTGGAGTTCCGCTTCCACTTTACCCTATGCATAAACACACACACATTTTTATTTCTGTGGTTGCTATGGGATTCTTCTCTGCGCTGTATTCTCACCGCCCCCGTTAAAATTATACACACAAACGCAAAATGAAGATTTCTGCGTAGAATTGCGAGCCGTTGAAAAGCAGTGGAAAGAAATACTAACTGTAAATAACTCAAAAATGCGAATAAACTTCCGGTGGGCGTTTTCAATGAAAAATGGGGGAGGAAAGGCAAAATGAGGAACCCCCACCACCCGCGAAAAAAAAAAACTCGAAAAATACATTGGGGATAGAAAATGTGTGAATAGGCGAACGAGCTGTGCTTCATTTTGGACGCGACGCAGGCCTGCCACATGAAAGACGTCGGGGTGACCATGAGCAAGTGGATGTTTCCATCGCTGTCGGTGAACTGGACGTCGTCCGTCTTCACGTCTTTCTTCTTCTTCTTGTTTGGCTTTTGGTTGCGCTCGGCCTCCTGGCGCCGCAGGTCCTCGGGCGTCTGGCGGCGGGTGAGCGGCCACCAGCCTTTCAACTTCTTGCTGCGGAAGATGGAGGCCCGCGGGCCGGCGCGCTCCTTGGCCATCTGCGCCGTGCACTTGCCGGACGATTTGGCGCCGCGCACCATCTCACTTAGCCGCAGATCCAACGAGCCTGCAGCACACGAGCGCAATTTGCGGTTGACTGAGAGAAAAGCAACAACATGCACGACTCGCATCAAGCACAAAATGCTTGGATTCAACTTTTTGCTCATATACGATCGTCTTCTCAAAATGAAAGCACTATTTTCAACTAAAATATACCAACTGTGTTTTCTCTAAAAAACATGAATCTTTTTTTGCAAAAAATATACTTTGTGGGAACAGAGACTCGTGGGCCTTGTCTCACCGAGGAAGTCGTTGGCCAAGATGCGGTCGTAGTCCCAAATTTGTAGCGTGAGAACGGCCGGCTGGCGAAATTCGGACTCCTCCAGAGAGAAGAAGGACTCCTTGCGCTTGAAAACCACCTCTTTCTTCAGCACACACGACAACAACAGCACAAATGAGCCACTGGAAAGCACAGCCGGCCGGCTGACTCCACCGCTCTCTTTGCTCTCTTCACTTCTCTACTACTAAAAAAACAAAACTGTGCAAGAGTGGTCAAAGTCCCCCCCCCCCAAAAAACTCAAGTTAACATCCTGATGGACCTCGGTGGGCAGGTAGTCAAAGCGGAAGACAAATCTCCAGTTGAAGTTTCCCTCCCCGGTGAGCGAGTTGAAGTGGACGTCCGTCTCCTGCTTGTCGCCTTCCAGGCCTCGAATCCAACTGGATGCCGTGAGAAAAAAAAAAAAAAAAAATGGAATAAAGAGCCAATGAGCAGCCAGCTTTGCGAGCGCAACCGGAGCGTGCGACGCCTACCCTTTCACGTAGATGTCGGATGACGCGGCGCCGGTGAACGGGTTGACGTCGTCCAGGAAGACGTCGTCCGTGTTCCAGATGATCACGCGCAGCTCGTACCTGTTTGCGTGAAAACCAACAGCTCGGGTACTCCAACGCATTCCGCAGAAATTTCAACTGCTGGTACAGTGCTGGATGGAGAAACAAACTCGTGGAGAAAAACAAGCAATGGAGTAGAAGAAGTAGAAGGAAAAAAAAAAGTAGACGAGAGTTGGATGTAAAGCAAGAGAAACAAGCAGTGGGGGGAAAAAAATCAAGCGGTGAAGTGATGGATTTAAAAAAAAAAAATGAAAGCAGTGAAGTGCCAGATTTGGAAAAAAAAGGTGGTGTGCTTGATATGGTAAGAAAAAGTGGATACTTGTACGTGGGGGAAAAAAAGAAGCAGCGCAAAGCGGAATGCAGAACACAACTTGCAGTGCAGTGCCAGATTTGGGGAAAAACAATCACATAAGTGCTGGATGCAGACAAAAAGCAAGCAACGGACTATTGACCACAGGGGGGAAAAAAAGTCATGGAGTGCTGGATGTAGGAAAAAATAAAGCAGTGCAACGCTGGATTTAGAAAAAAAAGAAGGTGACATGCCAGATGAAGAATCAAAACAACTATCAAAGTGCTGAATGTTGATAAAAAAACATTAAAAAGAAGCAAGCCAGGAGTGCTCCATGCAGGAAAACCAAATCAAGCAGTGGTGTGCCACATGGAGAGAAAAAAATGGAGGACTGAACGAGGGGGGGGGAGTGGTGGCATGCTGGATGGAGAAACAAAACATGAAGGTGTTGGATGCTGAGATGAAAAAAACATGCAGTGCAGTGCCGGATTTAGAAAAAAATGCGTGGTGGATGTAAAACAAAACAAACAAAAAACAAGTAGCGAATTGTTGTAGGTAGAAAAAAAAACATTGAGGTGCCAGAAATTGAAAAGAAAGCGAGCCATTGAAAAAAATAAAAACAACGGTGTTTTGCTAGATGGAAGTAAATAATTGAAAAAGCTGAATGCTGACATAAAAATGCGGAGGTGTGCTTGGCATAAGGGGGGGAAAAAAAAGTGGAACCGATGCTGTGGCGGTGCGCGATGCTAAATGCTAACAAAGGCGGACGTACTGTACGGGTAGTCGAGGTTTGATGTCCACAGGCGGCGGCGCTGGAACGTCCGTCGGGAACATGTCCACCCACATGTGGAGGTAACCCTGCACACACGCACACGCACACGCACGCACACACACTGTGTCCAAATTCACGGTTCCAGGTCCTCCAAAGGTCACATTTTCGAAGGAGGCAGCCTGCGAATTGCCTTTCTAGAATTTGGAAACCACGATTGAGGTCAGGAGTGACTTCACGCGGCCCAAAACGCGGCCTTCGCAGGACGCCGCCTCTAAATTTGGACACGGCCACGGTGTTGCCGCATGAAGCAATGCCGCGATGAGCGGTCGCCACAGTGACCTGCGGAAGTCCGGGTTTGTCGTGGTTGATGAGTGAGCGGATTTCCACGTGCTCGGGGACCAGCGCCACCGCTCCCGGGACGAACTCGCTCATCTGTTCCCAACGTCGCAGCACGCTGACGGCCGCGTGCTCCTCCATCGCCGCCTCCTCCTCGGCGGTACGATTCGGCTTCTTCAGCAAATCTCGAAACAAGCCACCCCAAAAAGAATCATATATATATGACCACTTGCTCAAAAATGGCTCACTTTTCTTTTGGAAAATTGAAGTTTCTCTGAAATTTGGGATGGCTGAGTACCGAAATCAGATACATCAGTACGTCAAGTGATCGAGTAGCAACAATGGCTCCCGATACCACTCGGTGGTGCACTCTTGTGGCTGTTGTAATATCAGCAAGTTTATGGCATGCGTGGCTGACAAAAAGTGCTTTGAAGTCAACTACAACTGCATCCACGTCAATCCTCTCAGATGCTCATGAATATTCCATTTCTAAAAAAAAGTTTATCGTACTGTAATTAGTATGCTGCTAAATCATTGGGTGTTATGACGACCGCCATTGCGGTATTTCTTGTATTGACACATTTTCTTCTTTTCATCGACTGAGAAAAACAGAATCGGTTTTGTTTTTCTCATGACATTTTCGACATCTGAAAACGTTTTAGCTTCGGGCCAGTCCATCCGGGTTCGAGATGCGTCTTCTTACCTTCTGGGATGGCATCTGCCGGGATCTTAAAGATCTTGTTGAGGACTTTGACCTCGGCCGGACGATATTCCGGGGCCTGAATGCCGTTTTTCTTACAGAGCTCGGACAGGATGACGGAAGGCTTTTTGGCGTCCCGCCATGCGTTGTAACCCTCGCTGCGGGCAGACAGCGGAAAGGATGATGTCACTTCAATCAAACGACCTTCAGGAAGTGTCCTCAAATACATTTCAAAGTTATTTTAAAGAGCCGCGGAAAGATGCAGTAAGTCGCGAAAACGGCTTCAAACTCAAAACGGCAGAGCTGTGTTTTTTCAGGATTGGCTTCTTGGGACTTTTTTGTGGGTCTACTTATGATGCACGCGCTAACCATGCTGAGTGAAACTGGCTTCAGAGACTGACATTTCAAAATAATCTGGTTGGACAGCTTTGCCTTTGAGTGAAGCCTAGAAAAGGACAAAATGACCATAAAATTGCTGCTTGAAACAAAAAAAATGATCTTTATAAATTCTAGAGACTTTTTTTTGTCAGTCGAAGCACAATTGACTACCAAAGTTTATGTTTCTGAGTAAAAGTGGCTCACGGGGCTGGATTTTTATTTCGTCACCTTCCTAAAATAATGGTCAGTCTTTTTTTTCTTCTTTTTTGCAGAAAACACGAAAAACCACATCGACTTTAGCCATTATTTGAAGAGGCGAACGACATTGTGTTCAAATGTGTTGATCTGAACGACACTATGGAAACGGCCTTAAATGACCCTTCAATTGCTGCTTCAAACCAAAATGAAAAACTTCCTGCGACTTTAAAGCATGGCGTCTTGAGACCTTTTTGGTGGCTCTGCTCAGGACAAGTGTGACTGACAAATTTCATACAAGAGAAAAATAAACGGGATTCAGGGGCAGAATTTTCAAAACCTAATGAATGGCAATTTGCACGACCACTACAAAAAGGAAATCTCCAACCAGACAAAATTTGGTGAGTTTTTGAATTTGGGAAAGCCCTCAAAATAGCAAAATAAATAAATAAATAAACGAGCCAAATCACAGCGGAACAACACAAGCGGACCGAAGCCCTGAAATGTTGACTGGCGCTGGAGACTTAAGACACGAGCAACGGCCGCGACGGCGAAACTAACGCGTCGTAGTAAAGGGCCAAGCCGCAAGTGGCTCGGTGCCGGCTGTAGAATCGGTTCTCCAGGTCCACCCGCGTCTCCCCGATCAAGTCGTCTGCGCCCACCATGTCGTGGTCCATCACCCTGATCGACAGCTCCGTCTCCAGCGGGAAAGACACCGTCAGTTCAAACACCCTGACGGAAGACACAGATATCTTGCTTCCACTTCACTCCCCCCCCCCCCGGGGAAGTGAGATGGAGGGACAAAACAAGTGCCGGATGTCAAGAAAAAAAGCAGGGGAGTGCCAAATAGGGTTAAAAAAATTTAAAAAAACGTGGAATGCCATATGTTGAACAAAAAAAACGAGTCATGTGGTGCTGGATGAGGGGGGGGTGGAGTGATGGATGTAGACAAAAAAAAAAGAAAAAACAAGCCTTGGATTGTCAGATGCAGAAAAAAAGCAAATAGTGGATTCCTGAGTGTATCGTGTCATACTCAGAAAATTGCGAGAGAAAGTTTTTTTTGTGTGTCGTACGACTGCGGTTAAGGAAAAAAGCTGTTCGAAAAACAAAATTGCGACTCACTCCCCAAAGACAGGGTTGAGTTGTTTGGGGATGTAGCGGTCTTTGGTGTCTTGACACTGTTGCCCAACGCGGAGCAGCAGGTACGGGTCGGCTTTGCCGTTGGGGTCAGCGGGAGCCAGATTGCTGCCCTGCGACAAGAAATTCAATCCGCACGATGTGACAGAATCTGCGTTCATTTCCATCCGCCTGCCGGAAAAAAAAGCCTTTTTGATGTGTTTATTCGTCACCTTGACCACGTAGACGCGAACCAGCACCTTGACCGGCGAGTTTTGGGGGATCCCTTTGGTGATGTAACACTTGACGTCATCTTCGTCGTCCGAATCGATCTGGTAGACCAGGAAGGAACCCTGAGGAGAGAAAGTGGCCACGTTGGACAGAAGAAAAATCCCAAGGAAAGGAGAGAACGCAATTCGTGGAGAAATTGCGTGTGAAGGCCGAGAGGCGCAATGAAAAAATATGCAATGACATTCGATGACCTGGAATGAGCGCAACTTGGAATGGTTGGAAGCGGTCCAATAATGCCGAAAGCAGAAGAAAGAAACAAAACAACATCAATTCATTCCGACATTTTATTTTAGAATTTTTGAGAAAAAAAAAATTTTGAAGTGGGAGGAATAAGACGAACAATTTAAAGTTGGAATGTTTCAAATCAGTCCAAAAAATGTCGAGACTGGAGGAGGAAAACAAAAACCACCGTAACTTGGGGCGATGATTTTGAATTTTTCAATCAAAATGTGGTTGGGATTGTTGCAGCAGTCGAAAGTTGGAACAGTTCGGATTGGTCCAAAAATGGAGGGAAGAGGAGAAAAACATACACCCCCAAATATTTTGGGCTTTTATTTTGAAATTTCAAGAAAATGATGGCAGAGGTAAGATGAACAGTCGAAAGTTGCAACATTTTTTTTTGTGATTATTTTGCTTGTGAACAATTGGGAATTTTTGTGGGAATTTTTGTGGTGAAAATGTTGAATTTTTGGCACGTGGAAAATCCTTCAAAAGGTGACTTGAATGTTTTGCAATTCAAATCGATCTTTCTGAATCTCTTTTGCCGAGCGTGTCGTCGAGAATGACGGTGAGGATCTTTTTTGCGGGTGCGCTCAGAGGGGAGGCCTCACGCGTTCACGCAGTCAAAAGCGCAGTCGAGGGAACGAGGGGAGGGGCCGGACCGGACCACCTTGTACTTTCCCATCAGGCGCTCGTCCTCGCCTTCGTCGGCATCCTCGCCGATCGCTCGGCCCTTCGACAACGGGAACACCTGCAGCCAGTCCTGGAACTGACTGAACTCCGATTCCAAGTCGCCCGCGTACAACTGAACGCGCGCGCGCACGCGTGCATGAAAAAGAAAAGCAGAAACAAAACAACAACAACAAAAAAACGGATTTGGATTCGTGAGCGTGACCGTAAAAGAGTGCTGAGGCGAAACCTCGAGCGTCGCGATCTTCTTGCGCTTGGGAGGATCCATCTGCACCACCACCGCGTCCACATCTTCCCCGTTTGTTGCATGTTGTCCCTCTGATGGACACAAAAGTTGACTTGACAATGACACCCGGCGAAGGACGCTTTGCGGAGATACGAAACGTTCTTTGTGAGCACACCGGTCTCTTGATCTTGTTCCTCCTCCTCCTCGCGCTTCCTCAGCTCCTCAGCAGCCTGAAGGCAAAGAAAAAAACAAAGCAAAAAGAAGATAGAGCCATAAAAACAGGGACGGTGTCATTTTCACATTGGACTTCATGATCAAAACCTCCGTCACCTGCTTCTCCAGCTCTTCCAGGGATGCGTAATACTTGGACCACCAGTCCAGCTCCTCGTTTTCCGGCACGTCCTCCTCCAGCTCGTCCTTGTCCTTGAGCAGCTTCTTCAGAGGAGCCTGAACGGCAAACGTGGCGCAGGGAAGCGGTCGACGGAAAGATGTGCTGAGCTTCACGTACGGCGGGCCGCGCGACGCCATCGGCATTACGTTGATCAGTTTGATGTTGGGAATCGTCGACTCTTTGATTGACAGGTTGCCGAGTTTGATCTTGCTGAGGGACTTCAGTGTGCTGGTCTTCGATACAGCGTTGTTCTTCTTCTTCTTCTTCTTCACTGGAGACAGATGGAAAAATACAAAAAAATATATGTTTTTTGATCATGACTTCAGCATAGCAAGGTATGCTGGCAACACGTGGATAGATCTGAAAAGCTCTCATCATGGCTATTCATCGGAGATATCACTCGATATGCTTGAATAGATTTTTCTTTTTTACCTTTACTGGATAACCGCTGAACATAAAAAAATTTGGGGTGATTCCTTCATCATTTATGGACATCATGACAAAGTGAATACTTTCATCGGGAGCTTTCATTTGAGGAAACAATGTCTCCTTTGCTACAAATCCTTTTTCTTTTACCTTTACATGTCAAATTTGGTGATTACGTCGTCATATACGTTGAGAAAACAATTTGATATCGGGAAGTCCTTTTATTTGAGCTCTCCCTCGATACAATTGGCTGCGTAGATTTTTTTTTTCACCTGTTCGAGTCAAATTTGACATGAAAACAAACAAAAAAAAAAACCTTTTTGGTTATATTGTTCAAATAATTCTAGATCAGGACTGCCCAAAAGTTACATTTTACCTGTTGCTAGTCAAATACGACAGTCCAAAGGCCCATTTGGTCACTCCATCGACTTTGCCGCAAAGAGATTTTCGAGCCTTACCTTTAGGTTTGGGCTCTTCGTCTTCCTCATCCGGCTCGTCCCAGAGGTCAGGCGTGGCAAAATCCATGAGGCTCCGGACCACGTGGGTCCCGACCAGGACCTGACGTCCGAACGCTCTCCGCTCCACCACGAACAGCATCAGAGGCGGGTGGAGGTAAGCCTGCTCCGGCAGCTTCTGATGAGAACGGAAAACCGCGAAACGTCAGCCGGGTTTTAGGGGGCCGGGCGGGCGGGCGGGCGCTCGGGGGGCTGCCGAAAGCCTTCAACTGACCACGTGGAGGAAGCGCACGGACTCTTTGAAGTTGGCGTGGGTCTTGTAGCTCTCCAGCTCCTCGGACTCCAACTGCTTTCCGGCGCACTCCACCATCACCAGGGGGCGCTCCACCTCAAACAGCTGCACGCGCTTCAGATCGCGCAAGCCCCAGAACAGCACCTGCGATCACCGTCACATCTCCAATCCACCGCATGACCTTATGCTTCGCGTACGGATCGATATATCATCGCTATCCATCCGCAGGCACGCGAGGTAAATATTTCCGCGTCCGTCATATTGGAAGCACCTCAATTCTGAAGTTCCTGAGGACCGGTCGCACCCCCTCTGGGATGTCATAGCAGCGCTGCTCTTGCAGGTAGGTCAGCTCCTGAGGGTCCACGCCGCCCGGGAGGGACGGCTGCCAAGCAGCGGGACACGCAAATCAAGCTTCACGCCGTCACTTCGTGCCTGCTTACAACAACGTCCGGACATATCGACCGCGCGGGAAAAGTGGCCGCGAAGGAGCCATGACGCTACTCGGGTGGCACATCATTGGCCAAGAGTGCATCTCGGGATTTTGTGGTGATCATTTTTCCACGCAGACTTTATTCTCGCTCCTTGCGTTCTGATCTCAACGACACACGACAGACAGCTCCGCTTTGACTGTAGCGTGACCTCGCTCCGAACCTCAGGACGTGACCTCGACTTGAACTTCCTCGGCGACGGAAAATAATACGTTACACCTTTGCAGACAAAGAGCCGACGACGCTGCGCATGGCATCTTTGAGCTGACTTGCGGTTTCACACCCGAGTCCTGTCCGAACCTGCTCGAAACAAAAGTGCTGCCGCGGCGATTCTGAAAAAGAAGCGCTGAAACGGTTCTTAGGAAAATGAAACTGCTGCAAGTGATCCGGGAAAAACCAAAGTGAAGGATCCGTATCGGTTGAAAACGACGCCCTGCTTGGAATCTATAAGACTCGTCTCGAGATGTTCCTTTTGCGCATTTGTGCCCTGATCACAACCATTGTGCCCCGAACGTTCACATCACATCTTCTTGAAGAAACTTCTCCATTTCCAGCCTCTGATTTCACACCTCAACTCAGCCCGAATTCAAACGAGCACGCACGCGGAGGACGGTGAAAGGATCCCGCCGTGACCGCGACATCGTCTCCCTCCGTGCCTCCAACAACAGCAAGAAGGAAAGAGTGCGTACAAGACACAACGTGTCCACATTTGGGGCATCATTTGACACCTAAGAAAAGAAGGCCCAAGTTCGATGTCCAATGTTGGAAAGTCCAATGAGAAAGAGTGACAAGAATGACCTGAGCACATCAGGCCTTTTTTTTAAATTTATGGGCAGCACACGCAACTGTTTCTGGGATCAGCACTCGAAAAGCGCAGTTCAATGTGGATTATTTGAAAAGTGGTTCCAGCGGTAATTCACTCCCGACTGGCATGTCTTCACGCGAACAAAAAGCGCAGCGGAGCGCGTCACCTCGCCGAAGGTGGAGTAGTCCAGCTCGATGAGTTCGAAGGCGGCCAGCAGCTCTCCGGCCGGCATCCTGCCCATGCTGATGCCGTGGACGCGCC